ACAAGTAGCTTCTAGGCCTGTCCAAGACCTCTCTTGCAAATGGCATGAGTTTGCATACACACTATTCCATTCCACTTCCCTCCATCCATTCCCCACCTCCCCATTATTGGAACAAGCATCCAAACAGCAGGAGCGAGTGACTGTCTGCACCTGGGGAGCCGGTGAGACTGACTATACACAAAGTGCTGCAAAGTGCACAAAGTAAACCAGCCGAACAAACGCTCAGCTCTCCTCAGCAACCTTTGGGGTTGTATGGAGCAACAGCAGATCTACTGGCAGGCACGTGTGCCCCTCTAACTGCAATGCTGTCCCCTCTCCTGCTCCTCAGCTCGAGTCTGGGGGCCCAGCCTTTACATGATAGTCGAAAACCCAAGCTGTAAGACTTGCCTTTAATTGCAGTTGAATCTGAATGCTTTACACCACAGATTCAACTCTAAAAACGTATCTGCTTTAGAGTGTTTTATTCTTTCCTCCAGAAGCTCCCTGCAGTCTTTTATTTACATGTTATACTAAGCAATATACATCTTCTGCGATGTACAAAGTAAGTTAAATTACTCTGAAGTGTTGGGACAATCATTCCCATGTTTCTGTTGTTTGGAACTACCTTGATTAGTTACACCTAATCCAAAAGAAGAGCTTGGTAAGTGATGTGACTTTCCAAAGTGACTAGTAATCCTCAGTACCCCATCTGCTGGGTCTCCAGAAATAATTTCCAACTGATAGATATTTCTGAAGCTAGAACTCTCCGTTAGGCCTCAGACTGGGTAAAGCATCAAAGATTAGTCACAGAAATTTTTCTTATATCAGGATATACTAGCAAAAAAAAAAAAAAAAAAAAAAAAAAAAAAACCCCAAAAAAAAAAAAAAAAAAAAAAAAAAAAAAAAAAAAAACAAAAAACCAAAACAACCCAACCAAAACAACAACAGTAACAAAAAAAAAAAAAAAAAATCAAATAGATAATTTCTGCTGGATTTTTTAACTTTCTGTCTTCCAACATTTTAAGTGAGATACAGTCCCTATGCTAACTGTTAGGGAAGGGGAGGCAGAACAGATTACCAGCAAATGTGATCTTGATCCTGTAAATCCTTACTTGGGACAATATCCTAAATGCTTCTATGGAAGTTTTGAACACTTAAGGACTTGAAAAATTATGCTGCTGCCTTATTTCTAGAGATTCCCATACCATATTCAATGCAAACTTATTCCCAAATTTGCATTTGGGAAATGCAATGAAACAGCATTTGAAGATACTTGATCTTCTAATATATAAATATATACTTAAGGATTTTATCCACCCATCAAACCAGAAGCATACATCAAATGCAAATACATACCTAGGGTACACACTGCACATCAGAACCACATTACAAGTCTGTGAATAGTAGTCACTGCACATGTATCAGACCCAATTTTCAAGGCCTATATACAGCTTTTTTGAATTAGGTTATACAAATCTCTTTGTCAGACCAGTTCTGGGGGCGAGCATTACTGCCATGATTTATTTAAATCACTGTGTACAAAGTGAATTTAAAAAAGCAGGTGCCGTAAAAACTCCCTGTTTACTTTTCATAAAAGAAGTTTGTAAAAATATGTGATTTGAAATCATTATTTGAAGGTTTAGACTAGAACTTCCTACTGCAAAAACTGAAAACCATGTTATTATAAGCACCTGAAAACAGAGGTATAAAATGGACCCCCTGACAATGAAGGATTAAAATTATTACATAGTCGCAGCATCTGGATACCAGTGTAGTTTAAATAATAGATGCAAAGAAAAATCAGAACAAGTGTACCACTACCATACAATTTTTCTTTTGTGAACATATATCTTTTGCCCCTTGAGCTTCTCAAGGTAAGGTCTCTCACCAAGATCTTAGACACAGCAAATAGAAAACAGAAGTGAACAGAAAACAAGTCCAACTAAGTCATTAGCTCCCATAATATGGAGAGTAACCGAGACACTTAATACAATAAAATCTTGAAGGTGACACTTCAAAAATGAGCTTTTTTTAAAAAAGCGTCTCTTGTTTCTCTTAAGTGCTGCTAGACCGGAACAATCAATTCATTCAAAAAAATAGTCAGGAAGATGCAGTGATTTCAAAATGTAATTCAGCATGTACAAAATGAACGTATCAAAGAGCTGATTGTTCAGCTCTGACCTTGCCAACTAAGGGTTGTTAAATATGGTATCACTTTCCATCTTATATCAAGAATATGCTCAAGTTTATCAGACTCAACAACCAGAAGACAGCAACTGTGGTGAAACCAACTCAGTTGTTAATTCTATCCCCCTTCTGCTTAGATCAACACACCCCATTCATTACTGCAGTGGCCCTGCTTGTGTGCTTTTTACCACTGAGTCACAGCAGCAACACACAGGGAAGCGAACAGCCAGCATTTATCCTGGTGGCACAAAAAAATCCACTCCTCCACTTGATCTAGATGTTCTTCTTCCCAGCAGTGCTATTTAGAGTACACATAGAAATCAGCTTTCTTCCCAGTCAGTTATATACAAAAGAGCTTGCTGGTAAAAAAAGACAAAGCTGTTAGTGGCAATCTGTGTGGAATAAACAAGAGTTTGTTGAATAAATGCTCAGCATGTTCACCCAGTAGCTGCTTGATCTCATTAAAAACAATCCCTTACCTGCTTCCATTTCCCACACAGTTTGAGCTTTAAGCCCAAACCTATACCTGAAGATCTCTGTTTAACTAACTTCTGATCTCACACTGTGCACAGAAGCGCACAAGACTGTAAGGACACCAGGAAGACATTTTCACTCAGGAATCACATATCCATACTGTAATAGCATGAACGCTGTGTGATAGCTGGCCTCTTGTCGGAAAATGCCATCTTCCCAAATAGGAGATGATAAATTTTCCACCAACCAGAAAGCCTTAAAAATGACAGAAATACCAAGTTTTAAAACAGTAGTATTTTCCAGAGCATTTTTTTTCCATTTTTCCTTGCACATCATTCCCACTGATCTAAGGAGGAACTCTAGATCCTATGCGATGAAGCCATCTCAGGTACTAAGGGTGACCTCTTAGAAAACAGAAAAGTTGCTTTTAAGAAGAGACCCTATAGAAAGTAGAATTTGGTAACAACTGGCCATTTTTAAAACATGACACTTCTGATGCAAGCTTCAATTTTGCTTCCTGGTCTTTCCTGCTTTTACATTGCTCTAGCTCAGTACTCAATTTTTCTCATGATCGGTATATCCAGAATTGTAACTCTTTTGAATTTTCTTACATACACAAGTACCTCCCCACTAAGTATTTAGCTTTTGGAGTTGACTCTACAAGCAAACATGTTTGATCAGATAATAAAAGACTCCATCAGGCAGCAAAGGAAAACATGGCACTGCCAAAACAAATGAGGAACTATAGAGTCCAGAGTTGATGGATGTGAATCAGTTTGCACTGCAAGAATTAGAAATGCTCAGCAACTACTATCATGGACAAGTGGAAGCCTTATGTTCTTACTTGTTCTAATACCCAAGTATATTAGAATTTAGAAGCACTACATTTATGCATCACCTAGGCAAAGAAAAGCACTAAAGCAGCTTAAAACGCTACATATGCTTTTAAGAACTCATTCCAAGCTTCTGTGGCTCTTCACTACCCCGTTTTAATAATTTAACTGTTAATTGTTAACATCAGTAAGGTAGGAAAACATTTAATCTTTGATGAAATTAAATTGTCATGTGACAATTTAAGAGAGTGATTTCTCTTTGTTTTTAATCACAAGCCTGCATAGCACAGCAGATAATGAGCAAGTTCCATCTTTTTGCATCTTTCTGATCCTAGTTTTATGGCAGGATATGTGCACTGCTAGAACTCAAATGAGTAAGAGTCACAGAGTGGTTCTGACAGATCTGGGGGAGAAAGAGGTGGGGAAACAAAACCAAGATTTTAAAGACCAGAAGGTAGGTAAAATTTGGATCTAGGTTTTCTAGAGAGGTATTTAGTAAAGGCCTAACGCTGGTTTTAGTACAATAAAACAGAAGTGCTTAATGACTAACTAGTAAATACAATATAATGGAAGGGAATCAGGTGGGGCAGGAAAGGAGAACTCACTCCTCAGTGGCAGCAGCAGCTTAGGTGCATCCATTGCCGGCAATGGACATAAACACCAGTCAAAAATCCAAATCTCAGAGCAAAAGGATTAACAGATGTGACCTTTTTGGATTTCAGTGTTTGGCAGATCTGTCTGAGCTGTCTGTGTCCTGTAACATGTACAAATGCTACAGCCTGCATCTTAATCAGAGTAAAGAGAAAACTGAATGCTCTTGATGTGGCCCATGTTGATTTGAGGGGGGGGGTTATTCTTCCATTGTCTTTTTTTCCCCCACCTTGAATAAAAACACATATACTTCATGCCTGCTGAAAAGTTGATAAGATGTCTTGGAGCCAACCGTTTTCTCTCAGAAACTCTGCCTTCTTGAAATCAGTTGGTCACATGACAGTTATTAAAATGTATTTTAAGAAAATTCTAATGGCCAAAGGCCAACAACTACATTCAAAACCTGCTAATACATCCAGGCAGATAAGCAAAACCAAAACAAAAACACACACAAACCTTAAACAGGAAACCTCCAAAAGGAAAACTGTTCCATTTGTTTACTTCAATTTGAAGTAGATATTAAGGGCATGAATGGACCAGTCATGGTTTATTTGAAAATCCCTCCATCCTCTTATGCACTGTCATTCTGTGGTCAATGCCATTTGTACAAACACATTTTGTTCAGAATACTCCAACTGGTTATGAAGCTCACGTGGCCGGGCAGTGACTGCAGGGTTCTTTTGTCTGTAAAAGTCTGCAGTGCTTACAGACTTACTTGACATCCAGCTTAGAGACTTAGTTGACATCAATACATCCTCCCACTAGACACTGTGCATTGAAGGCCATCTGATGAACTGTGCATGAGATCACTTTAGAAATTCATGGCTAGAGTGTTTCGACTGTCAAAAACTTCATTACAGTACACTTCACTGTACAAACATTTTAAAGGATGTTTATTAGGAAAGTCTGCAAGTCATAATGAATAGCAGAGTTCTTGTTTATGGTACCTTCTTGGCCTCTAATAATTCTGTTTCCCTCCAGTACTAAAATCAAACTGCTTCCATGAAGGTGATTACTAAAATGAGCTATGGTATGTTAACCTACAACTCACAAAATGCGACAGTACAGACATTAATTTTGCTTTTAACTGTCTGTTAAGTTGTAATCTAAGTTGTGAACATTTAAATATAATATATATCTCATATGAAAAAGCTAAAGCACAAGTGCTTCTGCACCACCCCCCTCCCGTCCCCCCACCCCTTGAGCCAAACCCACCCCAGTTCCGGTTTGGGCCCTGACTGATTTGGAATGCTTTCTTAGGCCACCCATTTCCACAAATTTGTATGCACTCAGGAAATATAAAGTCAAAAATATACAAATCTCTTGTTGTTATAAGGTTTTTGTGAGTGAAATTACCCAGGACCATGGACTTGGAAGGAGGGGGGGTAAGAGAGGGAATTTACAGCAATTAATCTTCAAAGTTCAAAACTGGTCACTTCACAGAAAGACTGCAGGACTGGTGAAATTCTTGCTTCTAGAAAGTGATACTGTAGTGGAGAATTTTCTAGGAAAAATAAAACAACTTTTAATAACTGGCCCGCTGGTATGAGCTACCGTGGAATAAATTAGCACAAAAATGGAAGTCTTATAACTGTTCACTGTTACAGACGTAATCAACAAGATCAGTCACTCTCAAAAGTTCATCTTCATCTTCCTCCGGCCCTACCGCTTCCTGCCCGCTCCCTGTCCCATTGGGCGCCAGGCTGGCGCTGGCTGTGCTGTCCTTGGGGGTCTGGGTCTTCTCGCTTGGCTTGCCAATCAAGTTCTCAATGGTTTTCCCTGGGCTCTGTCCGTTGGTGGAAGGCAAGTCCACCAGGCTGTAGTCCAAAGGGCTCTCTACTTTCCCTACATTATCAAAGTCATCTTCGTCATCGCTCTCTATCCGGTAGCAGTGCTTCTTGGGGTTGTCTTGGGGGGCTTGTGCTGCTGGCAGCTTATCTGCAGGAGCGGGGGTTTCTGCCTCGTCGTTTGCATTTTCACACGCATCTTCCTCGTCGGTCTCAATTCGATTCAGGCGTTTGCGGACAGGCTTCCCTTCCTCCTCCTCATCCTCTCCTTCTTCCTCGGAATAGTCGTCTGTACTTCGCCGACGTTTTCGAATCAGTCGCTTTGACTCCTTTGTGGATTCATCATCTTCAGAGTTCTTAGATGTGTAGCTCTCTGGAAGAAGCAGCAGACTTAGAGCCATTAGCAAATCTCAGTGCAACATTTATTGTTCATTTTTCACACTCATTAACAAGACAGCTCTCTGAGCACACACATTTCTGTCTCCTTCCCCAGGTTCCCCAACCAAGCCAAAAGCCTTGCATTCTTTTTACTTTTTACATTAACTTCTAATGCAGAATGTATTAACAATTTATGGATATTCTGTGCCAATCTGAGGAGTACCAGAGGCTTTGGAAGTAGGTGTGTTCTCCCCTAAAACTGGTAACTCCACGCTGGGAATAAGGCAGAACTGCATTCCTTGTCTCATAGTATGTGCTTCATTTGCACTCTGACAGAAACTCAGAACTCAAATAATGGTCTGCTCTACCATAAAATTCATGTCTCTACACACACACACACACACAGAGCTGTACTATACCCCTGCCACCCCCAAATTATATACAACTTATTCTTTTAATGGGAGGCTTGGTGTTTTGGCAAATTGGAATACTGCCTACACCCTGACAGCATTAACACTCATTTTGGTGACTGTGGTGAGAAAAAATGGAAACTGAAAAACTAAATAGCAAACATAATTTGTTGTCTCTTTGTGATTCCCATCAGAAATCACGGGAATTTTCATTTTAAAGGGTATTATTTAATGTAGGTTCAAGATGATTGAGACTGTCAGTGTTCCTCTATTTTTAAAGTAATTACAATTCCAGTAACACTGTTATGTGTTTTATGATATATTGTGGGAACTTCATGAGAGTGCTGGAAAGGTGCCAGATGGTGCTGATTTTAATACATGGAAAGCCAATACTAAAAATACCTGAGGAAATGGGACTTCATGAAGAAAAGACAACATCAATCAGGGAATGTTTAAAGCCACTAGTGCTGGCAAAAGAAAAAGCCACCACAGAGCCTGAGAACAGGCTGTATTGAAGATCATGTTTTTGAGACACTACAGACTTGCATCACATACTTGTTTTCCTTCACCTAGAGGATACTCTACCCTCTGCAGTCTGAGGAGATCCCTTCCAAAACTGAGGCACTCAGGCTGCCAAGGACAGGTCATTTTCTGAGGAAGACTGGTATCCATTGCAACCCGCACCGCTCAGCATTCAGAAAGCCAGAGCTAAGGTCTGATAATCCAGGCACCCACAATCCAAACCAGCCAAAGTCACTGGCTGATTTTGTAAAAGCTAATTAACTATAAATCACAAAGCACACCAGTCACTCATGCTGTGCCTGACATTACTGAGAGAGGCTTCCTTTGCACTTGGCACAGCTCCTTAAACAGGAGATGGAATGAGTCTAAACCACCAGCACAAACACAGTCAGGGCACCAGTGGCAATGCCCTTCCTCTTACATAAGAGGATCTTTAGAGGCTGGTGGGATGCAGCTTTGTGACCTCTTAAGAGAAAAGTGGTGAAACAGTTGTATTACTGTCAATTTTGGAATCCCAACACTCTGTGTCAGGCACAGTAAATTCACACCTGGAAGTCAGGATTAGGGGCAATGATAAATTTGAGAAGTGACTCAGTGCATCATAAAGTACCCGTGGGCTGTGTCAGAAGGAAAGAGTTTCTGAGAAACATCAAGGAACTCTAGAAAGACAATTCTTTGAAATCTTAGAACTATGTAACTTTCTCTTCATGCTGATGCTGACATACACATGCTCCTGGAAATGCTGGACTGTGTATTTTACCTTCACTATCTGAAGTGGAGAGCCTGCGTTTATGAACTCTTCTCAACTCCTTCCCATATCGGACACTTTTCTGTGAGCCATCACTTTCTGAATCTTCCTTATAATTAACTTGTCTCTTCTGATTCCGTCTTGATCTTCTCCTCCTAGTTTCCAGGTAATCATCATCACTGTAATCTGTGTAATCACCACTCTCTGTATGGAACAAAACAGTGATGTGCATTAGTCCATCAAAGCAAACTACCTCAGACAAAAAATTCAGGTACGTTTCCTAATTCAGATAGTTTCCTTACGGTGTTTTTGTTGCCTCATCTCTACTGGTGTCAAAGAAGTCTCTACAACTCCTGACAGTGGAAACAACCTTACTGAAGTGGAGTTGATGGCACACATTACCAGTGTATCAGGAGAGTCTGTTCTGCTTTTAAAATTTAAAAAATGTGTACTCTACTAGAAGACTTTTAAGAACGGGTAGATGAAAAATGACTGACAAGATGAAACTCCAAGATCTGAGTTATCTAAGTTAACAACAAAAACCAGTTTCACTCAATTGTGGGTTTGCTTAAAACAGAAACCGTACAGAAGAAACTTACCATCAATCACAGTTCTTCCTGCATCAGTCTACTGCAGCTAGTGTCTTCAAAAATTAAATTTATTTACATCAGTTGAAAATAGCCTCAAATCAACTTCATCTGCTTTTCACTGAGCTATGCCAGAACCATTATCCCAAGATACATTTCTATAGAAAGACACTAGTCTGTGTCTCAAATGAAGCAGAAACAAGGAGGACAGTCTTTAGAGAAAGATGTTGATCATGAAGAGGTTTATGTAGTGCACAGGTACTATTCTCACACTTCAAACCATGCCAAGAGAAAATGAAGTAGTTGAAGGACAAGGAGAATAAAGTGAACTATTAGGTTCTGCTGCAATGCAAGAGTCTTTAGTTATTGAAGATTTTAAGATAATTTTAGGAGAGATTCAAGGTGTCATTCTTTGCTTTCAAGCCTCCCAGAAAACACAGAATGCCATACAACTGAAGTTTACTTTGCTATAGAAGTGTCAGAAAATGTTTCTTTCAGAATCTTTTTCATAGGTGTGTTCAGAAGGTCTTCTACTAGCTATAAAGAAGGACACTTTTGAACCTCTTTCCTATAATCATGTGCCCAACAGGAGAGGTACAGAGGTAGCTGCAACTATCCACAATGGTGGCCTCTAGAATCATAGCACAAGCATTTATTTAAATACATAATTACCTAGCAATGCAAGTAACCTAGCGCTCAATATCAGCTTCCTGAAAAATACTGACAACAGAACAAGTAGCAAACTGCTTTACAGCAAAGATGACATCTCACTTGACCAAAGCAAGCAAACAAGTTAGTCACTCATGACAGAAACTCAGGCTGCCATTCTCACTATCTCCAGAAGAGAGTACTTAAAATATCAAAGATTGCTTATACTCACCTGACTCTCTGCTTGAATTATCCTCAGACTCTTCATCTTCATCATCTTCAGAGTATTTTTTCTTGACTGTTTTCCTTCGTAACCGCCTGCTTTGCCTCATGGGCCTGGAGAGGTGTCGCCTGGATATGCGGGCGCAGAACTCTGAGTCACTGTCCTCGTTTGATGGTGGGTCATCTTCACTTTCATCCAGATTTTCCTCTGATATAACAAACTCATCCTGAGATCTGTTCAAAGGAAAACCCCAGACAACAGAGATAGGTATCACAACCAAAGGATTAAGCTAATACTTGTATTTTACAAGCAAGTGATAAGTATCATTTTACACAAAACAAAAAGAGCACAAATCTTATCATGAGGAGCACAGACCCAGAGAGAGCAAGCTGCAATCACTGATAGAAGGTTTCAGCTGTGTATTTGGGACACAGCTGTACAGTGCATGACATTAAACAGCAGACTGCAACAGCAGGTGGATATAAACACTCTGTCAAACCAACCCTGCAGGTGGCATTAACACAGGACATCTAGAGTGTTCATACTGTTCATTGCAATGTAATGTCTGCATAGCAGTAACTGTGGAGGGAAAAAACCACCAACCATGTTCTACCAAAGGTGACCTTTCCTTCACAAACCCAGAACTGTCCCACACAATTTCCCAGAATTAGAATATTGTGTCTTAACACAAAACTATGGTTCTAATGTCAAACATGTACCTCACAACCTTATAAGCTTGGAACATTCCCATAATTTCAAGTGAGTCAAGGCTTTTCTAAAAACCATCAAACACTGAAGGTACACTTGCATTTGGCTTCCAGCCGAATCTAAATCCCAGTGTAAGATCCAGAAGGCCCTAAGCAGAGGATGGAGTTGAAAATGCATGAGCACACTTTAACAGATCAATGCACGATTAATTCTGTGATATTTCCACAAGTTACACTCGCTGATTGGAATTTTCCAGCACACGTAGCTCAATTATTCAGAGTGCCAGTGAAATGTCCTCAGTATGGTCACAGGTGAAAAACAAAGCTAAAAATTTACATTTATCTTGTATAAATTTTCTATACACTTAGTAAATTGACTCAATGATTGGTGTAAATCTTTAAAAGTTGCTGGTAAAGAGCCTACAGCCTTGTGCCTGCTTTATAATGTTGCTTCATTGAGGCATAAAGTTAATCTGAAATTATCAGTTTTTTTAACATCTGTAATTGCCCAGACTGAATGATGAGAAATTCTGTGGAAAGTGAGTTTCAGTCAGCCAGAGCAATGACATATATTTGTTTTTTACAGTGTAAGCCATTTCTTTGACTGTTTTCAAACTCTACCTCCTAAGAGCAGCAATCAAGAACTAATTTCAGAATCTGCCTGACAGGCTTTATATGCTCTGAATAATGAAAATATATTTATTTATATATATTTATTTATATATATTTATATGCTCTAAATATAAAAATTTTCCTCTTCCAGTTTCTAAATGACAATCAAGCCAACAGAATCCCACAAAATAGGAATTTTCAACTTTAATTTTTAAAAGGGAACAACCAGCCTCATTTTAGTTACATTTTTGTTACAGATTTCTGCTCGACTGTCACATCACCAGAGAACTGAGCCCACCTGGCTCCTTCACTAACAGAAACCTGTAGTAAGGCCTCAAACATCACAGTAATGTTTCCAGAATGTATTATGCTTAAAACACAGATTGGATGATGTCAGCACATGGATCCAGAATGCAGTTTTTCTAGTACAATGTTCCCCTAGGCCAGGAGGACTCCATGGTAGGGGGTTTGGAACTGGATGATCTTTAAGGTCCCTTTCAACCCAAACCATTCTATCATTCTCTGACTTTTACTGGCAATGTGAAGTGCCATTCCAGCACTGGGAACACGCTCCTGATGATCATGTTAGGGGCACTCCAGAGTCACAGAAGCCTGCAGAGATCAGTGACTTGTGGTGGAAGTTAAATTGCAGACCTACCCATCACTGATTTTGAATTCATCCTCACTCTCTTCTTCATCCATGTTACTGTCACTATCCAAGTCATTTAGTCGCCGTCGTTTCTTGCGTCGTGCTGCAGCAGCCCTTTGTGGTCGCTTGTTTTCCTTCCTTTCTTCCTCTAGAATTGTGGAAATGTCTTTTCCACGGTGACCTGTGATATTTGACATGTCTTTGCCTCTGCCAATGCCTGAATTCAGTAACAGAAAGGGGAAACAATAGCCAGTTTATTTTCTTGTTTAACTTTCTACAGATCTTTCTTGCATACACCTACCTTCAGTTTATTTTCTGTCAAGCAGAACAGTTTCTTGCTGCTGACATACACAGCCCAGCTGTGGTCACTTGGAAATACTGAGGTCCCTGCAGAAGGTCTTGGTTAAATGCCTGCATTATGATACTCAACCCCAAAGCACACTATTACCACGCCAGTGCCTTTAGAGAGGGAAATTATCAGAAAATACACATTTTTTCATAATGCTGAATATCCTTCTTTGGAGATGAAGGGTTTGAGTTGTGGTTTGGCCAAGAAGTGGAGTTTTTGAAAAGGTGCTTGAGACTTAGTTACGTTTACTGTAATGGACCATGTGTTACACACCCACAGATTTTCAAATTGTCTGCACACATCCATGAGCTTCTGACACTGGTGAGTGTCTGGAGGTGCCACAGGCCAAACAACTGAGGGACAATGTTTTATGGCTGTTTTCTTCAGGTAAGTTAAGGTGATGCAGAAGCACAAATCCACCTTCATCCCTCTCAGATAGTGCTGAAGATCTCTGTTTTGGTCACGTGTTGCCTTAATAGGCAACAAAGAACAGAATTTCACTTTTTTGCGTTCAGGTGAGAAGTGCGAGCAGAGCTGGATAAATATTAAGACAATTTGCTACACCCAGTCTTTTAGAAGGTCCATCTGCAGACCAGTTAGTGAGTCCTCTTTTTACAGGGGACAAATGTCAATAGCACTGATGCCATTCCAATCCAAATCCAAAACTTACTCATTACATATATAAAAACCTGTACAGGCCGGATTTAACTATCAACTTTTACTAATTTTCTGACATCTTTTGGCAGTATGGGATGGCTACTCCTAAGGGAAATTATTTAGTTCACATCCAAAAATACAGCACTAAAAAAAATCCCAGGCAAACTACAGGGTTCAAAGGGAGAGGGTTATATGTGTTGCTTCTCATATCAAAATAAATTTGCTCTCCATCTTCTCATCACCATTGCAATGCAAAACAAGTAACATCAGAAACATACCTCCTCCATCAGCCTCCTTGATATCATCTTCAATTGCCTCATCAATTGCCTCATCAAATTCATCAAACCTAAAAATAACAGCTTTCATTTACCACTTTGAAGTGAACCTTAATTAAATTGTTATAAAAACATACCTCAAAATCTGAAGAAATTACACTGCACAGAGTGGGCTGGATACATAATTAACCGAAATCATGGGCCAGAATTTTTTTTAAATGGCTATTTTATTATCAAAGTTGTGTTTCTTACTTCTATTTGCTTGCGGATTACTTACCATTGCCTGTCTTACTATTGAGTTACATGAACAGAAATCCCCTCCCATTTTACACAACAGGCCTCTGAATCTAAACACATATAATCTGAAAGTTATTTAAAATAGTTTCAATAGCATTTTCACACAAATTAATCTTTTTTTCCCACAACTTTTATTAGATTACATTAGCTCTACCACCCTTCAAAACAGCCTGAGAATCATCTATTAAAATCAAAGAAACTCTTTTTTCTGTCCACATTTTCCTTCAGAACTGATTTCACATAGCTGCTTTCTACTCTGAAAGCTCATGATACTTTTATGGATCTGCAACATTCTAAGCCAAACAGATAAAATAAAACACAAAGTACAAAGTTCCTCATAAATCTACATAAGTAAGTTGTAATGCAATGTTACATAACTGAATAGGACACAAAAAAGCAAAGTCTTTGAGTTTGCTTGTCCTGCAACAGCTTTTATAAAACTGTATAAATCTCTGCACCCTGAGTAACTCATTTAAAGAGAAAAGCAAACTGAAGAAAAAAGATCCAATCTTTTCAACACAGATGATCTCAGTTTTCTTTCTTCAGTTATGAATTTAAATTCCATAAAAAAGGATTTTTATCTGTTCCAAAAAATAGATGCCTTGAGCTCCAACATGAGAAAGTACAAATTTTATTAACTATATAGAAAATAAGACTTTTTGTTTAGATGAAAATTCTTCTTCTCATTTTTTAAAAAGTTATTTGTTGCATTTTTTTCAGATACAGACAACTAACAACTGGATAATACATTCATTAAAGATTCTGCTTCTCAGTCATGAAAGAAAGATTACAGTTATAATTACCTTGGTCCTCCATAGGAACCTCCAGCAGTACAAGAAAAAAAAATAAATCTAATACTTTACTCTTTATTCCAATACTAAGCATAAAACACTTTCTCCTTTATAAATAAGGTGATGGACTTTTGATATCTTTATATTCCTTAGGAACAACTGCATGCCACTCTCAAGGCTGCTTTACCCAGCAAGGAAATAACTCTGAAATTATTCCATCAGTAAGATCAGTTCCACATTACTGAAACACTGTTTTCCCTCCACACAGCTAAAAAAAACCCAAACCTCTTTAAAATGTAAGAAATCACTTAATGCTTTCAAACCACTGCTAACAAATAATCTGAGTTCAGCCATGGGTGAGCTGACAGCTGCTTGTCCATTAGGTGTAATGGTACATAATTTCTTCTGCTGCTGCTTCATTCATAATGCAGGTTATTGCTAACTTGCTCACGAAAGGACTCAACAGAAGGGTGAAACAAAGGGATTACAGATCCCTTACAGAACGAGGATGCTCCACAATACAGATCTGTTTCCTATTGGAATAAAACTTCAAGCATTTCTTTTCCCCTGCTGTCACAACTTTCAGTGACACCAGTGGAACTTCACTGCAGACATATAAATCTGACACACTGATATGTGTAATATTTTCACCAGCTCAAACTTATGTGTAATGATGTAGTCTGTAAGAAAGACTATAATTTTTTTTTTCAGAACACTGATTTTTCTGAAATATTACATTCAATAAAAATTTACTGCCATTGCACAACATGAGTCCTGCTGAAGTCGTGCCACCCACACCCTACAGGCAAGGAGTTTTTTTCTCCTGGTCAGATGCTGCCTGACTTGGCATTAACATGATAGCAGATCTGTGTAGTCTTGCCTGTAGCATAACATTCCCTACAGGAATGCTTAATATCCCAAAGCAGCAATGGCATTTTCTTTAGTGTGACTTCTGCTGTTCGTTCAAAAAGTTACCAAAATCCAACAGCCGAGCAAAGTCAAACTGAGTGTTCTGACCAGGCTGGAAAACTCAGCCTATGCAAATGCCATGCCTCTCCTCAGCAGCCAAACCAGGTCGACCATAAATCCAGTGATGGTTATTGTTGGAAAGTTTGCTATTCTAGTATTGGAATGTTATAGTTTTTGATGATAAAGTTTACATAGAGCAACTACTAGAAAGATAGAGGTTTTTTTTTTATATTCCAAATGCATCTGGGACAAACTGCCAAAATCTCTCACGCAAGCACATTATTTTCTAATCCCAAGGGCATTTTACTTGCCTGGTGGACTGAAGATGATACAGTGTCACAAGGTATTATTCAGAAAGCAGTTTATAAAAACAACTTGGTAATACACTGAGAACAAAAGTTGTTATTAAAATCATGCTAAAGTTTGAAAACCTTAGTGACCTATTCTACTTTCAGAATGCAGAATCTTGGCACTTGCATTTACTAATTGCATTTTTGTCGAAATTTCTCTAAAGAGTTACAGATTTCTCTAAAGAGTTGCATTTTTAGATGCACTGTGTGATAACTACATTGTAAGTTTCATGCCCCTTTCTTGTAAGGAAGGTCTAATGTGGGGAGAGGGAAGATAGCAAGGAATTGAAGGCCATTAGAGACACAAGGAGAAGTCTCCCGTGCAAGAGAAAGAAAAGGTTTAATTCACCTGCTTTAACTCACTCCAGAAATTGCAGTAGTACCAAAACCTTCTCCAGTATTCCTGAACAAAACACCATATACATTTTCATTTTTTTAATGCATCACCCCTTCACTATACCACCTTATGCTCTCACAACCACTGAGCATACCCAGTATCCAGAGGAAAGAACAAAGACACTTTAGTTGGGTTTCTCTGTTAAATGTATAAGTTTACATGAGAAGTGGTAGGATGATTCAGAAAGGAAACAACAGTATGACTTTTGCTGTACAAGCAATTTTAACAAGCTGCTGACCTGTAGCTTATGCACTTTCGGGTTCTGGTAGATCTCCTTTCAAGTTTCGATTTGGGCTTTTTGGAATCTTTCTTCTTTTCTTCCTGACCTTCAGGTATTTCTGGCTCCTGTTCAGATAAGACAGAAGTGTCAAAAATGCATTATCTCCTCCCTCCCTTCACACTCATTATGGCTGAACTTGTAATACAAATTATTCCTTCTGTCTAGAAAGCTCATATGCTCAACACAGCACATTTGAACTTGTAATATGGTGACCTATTACAGCTGTTCAGGTGAATTTGCACATTTTGCCCTTACAGGCTACATAACTTTCCAAAAACAGAATTTAAGGGTTCAGGCTATCAGATCATTGTGTTTATGCTGCAATGCTGAGATCATGCCTCTGCTGATACTCCTAGGACTAGTAAATGTGACAGCTAAACAAACTGTGGTCACCACCTCTACATACTGAGCACAGGGATACCTTTACACAGTGCAGTTTCAATAAAGTTTCACACAGGTTAGTTTTATTATATTGTTTGCAAGTTATTAATTTAAAAGCAAAATAATCTGCCCCCAGGCTGCATTTTTCAAATATTTGCTTTCAGCCATAGATTCTTTTGTAAGTTTGCAAAATCTGTAATTGTTTTTGTGTTATTCAGAGACAGGGAGAAAAAGCTGGCCTTGTTAGAGCCACGCAGAGTGGAAAGTCTATGTTTAAAATGAACAAAAGTTCCATTTTGAACTGCAAAGAACAGATTATATAATTCCAGATGAAAGCATTTGGCCAAGACTTCAAGAGACTTGCTTTAAAGTGTATTTAAGTGAGAAGAGGCTGTTCTTCATGCGAATCAAAGCATTTTTCCTCTTTTCTCAAGGGAAACCATATGAAAGCATCAGTTAATGAAACAGTAAATATTTACGGTTTTTAAGCACGTGACCTTATCCACTCGTTGAAGGCAAATGCTGTGCTGCCTAGAGATACTACACATTTCCTCTGAATCATAAGAAACATTTGTTTCCATCAGTTCCAAAGGAAAGCCATGACAATTAGCTCAGACCTAGGTAACTGCACAGCAAACATTAGAGCTAAATAACTGATTCCCACTTTTACAAACTACTGAATATTGAGCACTCAACTCAAAACCCAACTGTAATGGGCAGGGAGTCCTGCAATCCCTCACTGGGAGAGGACTCTGGGTGGCATCAGGTGGCTCTAATAAACACCATAAAGCTCCTTTGGTTTCTCTGACATATTCAGTCTAAAATGAAGGGTCTAGAATTATTTCTGATCTGCATATAGATTGATTTTTCTTTCCAAGACGCTACTAGCACCTATGACACAGCACTGAGACTTCTTCCCTGAGAAGTTTGGAAAATAAAACAAAAATACCACATAGACACACTAGCTTACCTGAGGTGGAATGATGTTCTCAATACTGATACCCACGTACACCAATCGCTCTTTTCTTGAGGAGAGAAAGAAAATGAAAATAAGCTTACAGAAAGTCTGCAAACATCTAAAAAAAAGCTCTAATCAGCACCATTTGAAGTCCTTACCAGGCAGAAGCATCCCAAGAGGATGTTCCAAGTGAAAAGTTATTAAAGTTGGGATTATATGGTAAATCTCATGTGATTACATTTTCTTGAATGTATAATGTAAGAGATTTCCAAAGAGTTCTGACAATCAACAGTACTTGAAGACTTTGGTCAGGCACCACAGAAATTATTGAATTTCTGTATAAAAAACAAGTAAAAACCAACTGAAAAATATTAATGTTGTGATGAAGATTATGTTGTCAGATCTGTAACTACCACTGATCGTGAAGGCAATGAAAGATAAAATGGGAATTCAGAATCACATTGAACTGGAAAAAATATGTAAAGATAGGATGCAATCCAAAATGGATGCCAGACATTAGACCCAAGCAGGAAAAACCAACTCTAGAAACACCGGGGACAAATAACTGCCTACAGAGCAATTCTTTGCCAGAGAAGAACAGCCGGAGAAAAGATCAGCAGAGTCAAACTGCTGCTCAAAGAACTATGATGACAGATGCATGTGCAAATACTACAACAGCTGACAGGACACCTGAAGGACACCTGCCATGGCAGTCAGTCCTGTTCACACCTGGCTGGAGCACTTAGAGCCATCTGGGCACCACACATTCTCTAAGAAACATGTGATCCAGCTGAAGAGTTCAGATTCAGCCAGTGGGAGTTACTGGAGGGCAGCAGACACATCCTGTAGAGAAGGGCTGAAAAAACAGGATGGATCAGTGTAGAGAACACTTGACCAAAGATGGGAGATAGAGAAGTACTCAAATACAGGACTCTCGTAAGGAGAAGCAGGCTGTCCTCCTTGTCAACGGTGTTACAGGATTAAATCTATGCAAGCAAAATTCAGTTTAGATTTTCCTTTCTTCAACACAGACATTCTGCATCATATGAACTGCCTCGGGGACAACTCAGGCTCCTGAAGGACACAAGTCTTCTCTAAGTCCTGTTGTAACTGTCAGTGTGACTAGAGATGGATTTCCTAACACTTCACAAGCAGCACTACATGCTGATCTTCATGGTGCTGAAGTGAGCTGTCAAAAAACAGTCTCTGAGGAAGAACAGCCAGGTACTTATGCAGACTAGGGTGGGTAACCAAATTCCCATCACCATAGGTCCCTACTAGCCCTTTTCCAGGAAAACAAGGGGTAATTTAAAGAAATTAAGAGCACGCTGAAAGTTGGTGGCATTTACTGGTGTCTGAAAACAGTGTGGATTTTTGAACTGAAGTATCTCAATCAACCAGAATCACACTACTGAAGTTACAGGGAGTGCTTGTATGAACCTGCTGCACTACACTTGAGCTGCAACAGGACACATCACGCACATAACTGCAACAATGCCCATGACATATTGATTTCAGCTATGTTTACTTCATTGTGTTATGTTTTGCAAATAGAAGCATCAATGTGTAAAAATTTTCTTTCCAAAAATTTCATTAAGTTCTAAAGAATCTAAGTAAATTTTGAAAGTCCTCTGAGTAGCCTTCTGCATTTTCTAGCATAATACTGTTAAATAAAATGAACAAGCATCGTTCCTAAAGTAATACTTACAAAGAGTAAAAATGGATTTTAGGTTGTGTTACAGCTAAAAAGACCATGGACTTCAACAACTTGGTATCATTATGCCTACTGAAATAACTGGCTGTCTATACAAGGAATTAGTTTTGTATCCTAATGTAAATATTCCTACATGACAGATGAAAAGAAATCCTCATCCAACTGGGCACCATTAGATTGGTTGGACGAGGAGGAAGGATGCTGTGCAAAATCACTATGCCCTTGAAAATTAATTAAAATAACATTTTAAGGCAAGGAGTACAATTACAGAAATGAGAAAGGAACTAGAAGTGCAAACATTTTAGTATTCAGCAAGTTTCTTTGACGGTTTACTCAATTTCTCATTTCTTGTAATGCAAAACATCAAGAGACAGGAGATGAGAAAAATTAATCTGTTTTTAATCATGATCAGCAAAGTCTTCCAGTTCTGCTGTTCTTCTCCCTGGCTTGAGTACACACTGCTTAAGAACTCAGCAAATGGAACAACGCAATCCTGCTGCGGTCAAGGTCTTGAAATGAAATACAGAACTATATTGAATGAATGCCTTATTCCTTGTGTGGCAGACAGGAGATCAAGACTTTAGCCAGGAGTTTAAACATTTGAACCAAGACATCTCCGAGGGCAGCAGCAGATAAGCACTGGAAGATTATAACATCTTCCTAGACAAATTCAAGGTAACATTTTACCTTAATTACGTGGCTGCAAAAGCTGCTACAGAGAAGTCATGAAAGTGTGTATGAAAGCAACTGGTATGACCTGGTTTGGCCTGAGAGAATTAGACAAGTAGTTCCTAGAGGGATTTTCTATCAAGAAGTCTCAGAGTATCTAACATGGATTAAAAGGGAGACCTTAGATGGCTTTAATGTCCACTCCCTCCAGCTGGTGGTAGGACATGATTATAGAAGTTAGTCTGTACATGAGAAACCTGAAATTCAGCCAGGTTGTTGTGGTAGCACCTTGAATTCACAAACAGAAAAAGGGGGGGGAAAAAAATAATTTCATCCATGTATTTGTAAGCCAATGGGAAACCTGAAGGCTTCATTTAAAAAATCAGCGACATAACAGTTTGGGGATGTGCAAGCACACAGCTGAGCAGTTGAATCAGCCTCAGTCAGATTCCTGAGAGCTGGAAAGAGCACAACATCACTGCTTCAAAAAGCATGATAGCAACACTGATTCAAAGAACCTATTAGGTAGACATAGATGTAATGACAGACTTGGATTTCTTCTCTTTCCCAAAAAGACAGACACCCACCACATACTGAGTGTTCAGAAACACTGCATTCAAGTATGTCTGTGCCCCAAGCAACCAACCTGCCTGAACTTATCCACTGAGCTGTAATAACAACTCTCATTTCCTCTGGCATTATGATTCTTCAGCCTTTTTACCTTATTATTTGCAACAATACAGCATTAAGTTGGAAGACTTCAACACTCAACTATTGCATTGTGAAGTCTATTATAACTCAATTTTATGGCATACATTATAAAGCATGAGGTTCATTTGGTATGAGGATCAAATTGTAAAACAGTTATTAAACAGCTGTTTCAGACACTGAAAACTGCTATGACATCAACTGTATGCTCTCCTGTTGCTCTCAGAACATTGTGTTTTTATGCAACACTGGTGATTTCAAGAAAGCAAGACAGACTGGCAAAAGCTAGCATTCCATGTAATGTTTGCCAGCAGATTATTTGCCAAAGTACGTCCAAAAATGCTGTTCACTAATAAAGAGCACTCCCACCATAAAGCAAAGCAGTAGAGTTCCTGTGTGTCCCATACTCCTGCACAGATGGAGGCTGTGTATTTGCTGAGTTCACTCATAAAAACAGCTGATAGTTTCATTCCCAAGGCTACAAATTCAGCACAATTGGCAATGGATAATTTAACCACCATATGATCTAGATACACTCTGAGCAGAAGCAGTAACATCAGGAACAGTTGGTACTTGATCTGTCACTATCATTTTTGCAACAGCAATAACAGATTTGAAGAAAGCTGAAAGCAGACACAGACTGTGCTCCCATCTTCGCAGCACTAACTCACTACATCTCATGTATTATTACAGTCCCTGCCACAAATATAAGCTTGCACAAATACTTTCTTTAAAAGGGCCTCACCTTCTGGTGAAATTTGCCTTTTAAGATAAAATTCATGGAACGTTTTGTTTAATCATGCATACAGACATTACTAAATTCTGCAAAGTACTCAATATATGTCATAAAAGATATAAATTATGCAGAATGTGTTTCATGTCCCTCATTTCCAGGTCTGAAAACTGCCAATAGAATGCTCCAATTGTTAAGGCTGTTGTTCATAAATGCAGTAAATATGTCTGAATTTAGCCTTTGGTAAAGGCAGGGTGGACAGCTGGTCAGAGCAGGGTGATCATAATGCCAAGATTGTGGGTTCAATCCCTGCAAGGGCAATTCCCTGAAGAGCTGAAGTTGATGATCCTTGTGGGCCTCATCCAACTCAGAATATTCTGTGATTGTGAAACTTCACTGACCCACTGCCCTACAGCAGTTGCTGCATAATCTTGTACATTAGGCAGAGTTTAACAGGATCTAAAGTAACAACTTTCAAATCCCACAATAATCTGGATGACTTTTGGAGCAAAGTCAAGACTTAAACTTGCTTACAGCAGGAATTCTCCACGTGACTGACAGTCAGCTGAACCAGTGCTGGAAAGCCTTTAACTATTGGTATAAGAAAGTCAAATCTGTGTTCAGGCACTTTAACCAAATTTTAGTACAAATGTATTTGCTTATCTTTTCCCGTTATTGTACTTTTCCTCCCTTGTTGCAAGCTGTCCTAGCACTGAGCCAGCAATAATTGGTGGGAAGTCAAAATTGGTGTTACCAGTTCCCAGTCTCATCACTGCTTTTCTCCCCAGTCCCCAGTTATTTTAATGCTTGTTCAATTATTACCACCCCCAGCACAGCACTGCTGTGAGTGCATCCAAACAACGGTACCTGCGTTCTGCACGCTCCTTCTTTTTTAAGACAACATCCAGATCTTGTAATTGTTCCTCTAATTTCTCACAGAGTAGTTTCTAAAGGAAGGAAACAGAATATTAGTTTATTTCATAACCAGCAATTTTCACATTGAAGTAACATTCAGAGTCTTCATTCACTCAGACTGTATCAGAAGAAGCCTTGCTAGTGGAGGTTCCTCTTCAATAAACAAGGCTTTACAATAAAGCCTGTCTTTCTAAAACATGAGCTCCACCATCAAGTCAAAGTTGGATGAGACTTTGGGCAACCTGGTCTAGTGGAAGGTGTCCCTGCTCATGGCAAAGGAGGTTGGAACTAGATGAGTTCAGTGGGAAATGCAGCAAAAAGCAGAAATACACCTTAGGATCATTTCCTTACCAAATACTCAAGAAGCTGTATGCAAAAATTACTTTTAATGGAAAAATTGTGCCTTAGTCCATGTTAATGCCCTCATTATACTACTTCTAAGGATGCTCTTCCCCTTTTACGAACTGTCATTTTTCATATCGAAGAGTACTTTAATAGCAACAGAACAAGGATAAGCTATAACTAGAAGTGTAAAGAAAACTTTCTTACATATTCAAAATCATCACTGCTTAAAAACACTCCTCAGAAGACAACTAAAAACCAGCACCAAATAGTCATCTCACATCATGCCCAATGTCACTAGTTTACTGTCAGGCAACAGCCCTTTTGGCACAGAATTTCTCTAAAACCAAGGAAGGGGGTTGGGATCAGGCAGATTATTCTGAAAATGTGTACAAATGGTTTGCCATTTATTTAACAAGAGCAGCATCACACACTTTCTGCTTACCCTCCCAAGCACCAACCCTGCTTCTAGCCTTGGAATAAGGGTTCACACTTGTCTATTACTTGACTAGAACAACCCTGGCTTTCCCATCAGAGACAAACTATGCTCTGAGATTCATCAGTAACAGCAGCTTTTTCTAACCAGCTTCTGAGCAAATGTCTCTGAAGAAGGAATAACACTTCAGAAACAGCTGCTTGCTCTGGCCACTGATCCATCCCTTGTTGTCTACTGTTCCTGCCTCCTGGACAATAACTTAAATGTTTCTTTTGGGAAAATTTTAGGACATTATATCTTTAATACTGTGCTAGTCTTGTGATTTAATCAGAGATAGAAGATAATCAGTGTGACTGGAGATTCCCATTTAAAAATCAGCAACACGCAGTCACTCATCACTAGCAGAACTAATAAAGAGAAGACCACATCACAAATTCAGTTTTACTAATGGACAGGAGGGAAGATCAGCAGTCCCACCATTCATCCCAGTCCATTTGTTAACAGACAAAAAAGATTACAGAAAGGACTTGTTAAAGTCCCAGTCAATCTCCACAACCACAAGGAAAGCTGCAAGGAAGAATGAAGTCACACAGGAGCCATACATGCTGGCAAGGCGGGCAGAACCACTCTCCATCAGGGATGATCATCAGCGGAGGGCGAAGGCAGGCTGTGTGGTAGCCGCTGTCACAAGAGTCACACAACAAAATCTGTGCAAACAAAACATGTCGTGAGTATCTTTTGACATTCACATGTAACAAGCTCCACAACTATTTCCCCAGCCAACACAGAAGTGTTTGGACTGTGCCAAAACAAAAAAAAAAAAAAGCCCTGTACCACTTATCCTGTAGCACACGCCCAGGGCCAAGGGTGGTTTTCATGGGGAAGTTTATTTATCACGGTTTTCCGTGCTAACACCACATTTCCTCTTACTGTATCTTCCCAGTACTTAGTACTACTGGACTATGCAGACAATGTGCCCTTAGTGTAGAATCTGGTAACACTTTCCAGATCCTAGACTAAGTGGAAAACTCCTTCTGAATAAGACGTGGTATTACCTGTTTTCCCTGTGCTCTCTGCTCCCTGTGTAGGAAACCTGGCCTTTTTCCTCAGTCAGGATAATTTTATGACTTGGGCAGCAGGGACAAAGCCTTGCAGGCTTGCACAGCATCCACAACTAGGCAACTACTAAAAGTTCATACTTAGCTGGGTAAAATTTGAGACACTCCTTTCCACAAAACTTGAGAACAAAGCTGGCATAAGCTGTGTATATATCTACTGAAATATTTATCTCTAACATCCTAAAGGGCAAACTTTTTCTCAGCTATGCCAGGATATCTGTCAAACACCTAAGAGTGTGCTTATTTTCTGGATTCGGGACTGCACATGATGATTTCCCAGATAAACAGAGGAATTCATGATGGTATCTACCACAAATAAGTGGGAACCACAAGAAATAGCAAAATCTTGTGCTCTGTCTGGAATTTCACTGTACTCAGTCCTCAGGGTAAGATGCAGCTACATCCAATGAAGATGACTATGCAACTATGTGATCACTGATGCCTTGGAAAGTAGACATCACACTGCTGGAGTTCTTTTAAATGCTGCTTCTTCTGTATTCATTGCAACTGCAGGCACAATGTCAAAGTCTCACCCAGACCGATTCTCAATTGGCTAAGGTGCATTACACGCTGTAAAAGATGCTATTTTTGCTTTGGCAAACAGGAAAAATAACTTCCTTCCCGCCTTATTCAAGGTAACTCATTTACTCCTGAGTTTACCACCTAAAAACTAGGAGATACTCTTCCACATATGGCCACCCTGAAGGATGATGTGCCTTCAGACACCATCAAAGCCAATCCACCAAATCTGACACAACAACCCACAGAAGCTTCCCCCATATCCTACCAGCTCAGGATGATTGGGAAGGCCACACTTCTTGCAGGGCTCATCGTCATCAGCAGGTGGAGCTTCTTCTTCCTCCTCTTCCTCCTCTTCTTCCTCCTCCGCAGAGTTTTTTTCACTCTCAGAGTCCTCAGTCTCTTCATTACTTGAGTATTTCCACCTGCCACGTGTCCGCGTACCCGTCCACCGAACTTTGCTTCTCTATGAGACACCATTTCAAAGAAAAAACACAAAGGAAGCCCACAGAGTTTCTTCCCAGATCTTAAAAAAATATTTGCCTCCAGAGTAAAGTGATTCATTTCAGTCAGAACAGCTGCAGTAAATTTACAGCAGAGCATTTCAATGAATATGTTGTCTTTCCAAGATCCTTAAAATGCAATGAGATAAAGGGAAAAAAATTGCATCTACGTGCAGAAAGAAATTTTCAGGCAAGATTTAAAAGTAGGAAGACAAATTTTTCCACTCAATTTTTTTTCTATTTTGACAAGGCCAAATTCATAATGCAGATGGTAAATTCCACTTAAACTTTCTGACTTTTTCATAATAACTTGCTTCAACCCAAAGAGAATATTTTTTTTCCTCCCACCTGCCTCCCAAAGAGTTTATGCATTTTATTTTACTTTGGAAAATGTGTTTGTTTCTGAAATAAGATCACTGCACCTCTTAAGTGCATAACTTCTATCTAGGTCTTCTTTCACGTTTATACTTTTTCATTATTTTCCTTAAGCAAAACATGATTCAGCTGGTGCTTCATTTTTGCTAATCAAAGCGGCACTTACCCCTTTCTATCATACACCGTATTATGAATGAAAATATTTTGAATATATATATTACCATATTTTGAATCAAATACAGGTTTCAATTAAAATTCAGTAGACCTTTCTGAATTACTTAAACTATTTTGTGCAACTAAGATATTTTAGATTTAAAGCAACATGTCAAACAGAAAAAACTTTTATTCCCATTGACTGACTTGTTTCTCACACCTGTTGTTTTCTCACAACTTATTACCCCCTTCCCACTAAAAACAGAAAATAATTTTTCCAGCTTTTTTAACTCAAAATATTTTTTTTTTATTTTGACTAAATTATTCACAGACCTGAATAAGCTAAATAATGCACAAAATATTCTATTTCTCCAGCCGGATGAATAAAAAAGGATAGAATATGAAAATGCACAAATTATTCTATTTCTCCTGCAGGATGGACTCGTACCAAAGCAGCATTTGTCATATTGGTAAAATTTTGTTTCAGGTTCTTAATATCAGTTTCTACTTGTTTATAGAGATTTTGCTGTTCCTTTAGCTTTAGCAGCAAAGGTACTTCAAATCCATTACAGAGACTCAATTTAGGCTACAGACTCATCATACAGCATCACAATTTCAAACTGGGTTTTTTATAAGATCCATTTTTAAAAAGAAAAGGAACCCCAAGATATAAAGTAAGCTATTAAAGATCCTGGTATTCTTCATCCTGTTTAAATGACAGAAGCTTAACAGCCTCAAACTTATTCCTCTATCATAATTATTTTAGAAAAGGAAATATCTTTAGATCTCTTGCTCTTTCACAAATAGAAATCGAGTTAAAACAGTTAAAACACCTGCAGCAACAGTACTTCAAAATTCTAATAACTTTCAGGATTTACAGTCACTCTTACTTTCACATGTTTTCTTTTTTAATTAAAATCTTCAAATGAAAAATTTGTCTTTCATTTCCCCATGCATGTGACAGCATTTTTCAGTATAGATGTTATCATTCACTGAAAAATCAAGTGTTTGTTCATTTTATAAAGGTTATCCAACATACCAGTATGTGAAAGAAACTTTGTTTCACATTCTAAATGAGTGAAAGCTTTGGGAAAACTACATCAGTCAAAAATATATTGCAGTGGAAAATTAATAGGATTTTACAAGTTGATTTTAAAAAGTGCACTTAAAAATATAAACTCATCATTCATCTTTTGTTTTGTGCTGCATAACCAGAGAAAACAGAAGATAAATTAATAAAGGGTTATTTATAAATGCACAGTCTCAGAAGCACACCATACAAATGCATGTTTAATTTTATGTGACGTATTTACATCATGTACTTTTACAGATCTCTTCTGCACAAACAGAAGTTAATATGAAACAAAACCCTGTACCCACATTAAAATGTGCATCACATATGTGAGAAAAGCTAAATATATAATGATTTCACCGCAACAATACCTTTAGCTTTACTTAGAAACAGAAGTCATAACATTTTTATTCTTCCCCATTTTTTGGTTCCTTTTTATCTTATGATCATTCTGACTAACCAGACACCAACAAGTATCCATCTAGTAAATCCAGAGGGGTTACAAGTCTCTATTCAGCCACACAGCCAGACTGACTCACATCTGATCGCGCCATTTTTTAGAAGAATTCACTCAGGGTGATTTGTCCTACTTAGGTTGGTTTAAGTGACAGATTTTATAAACTGTCAAAGTTTATAAAAAGTCAACAGATATTAGCACTCTCTTAGAGGGTGTTTTTAAATTGGTTGAGCTCACTAACTGGATTGCAAAACTAGTTTCTTGCAAAAGCTGACCAAAGGAACATAATCCTCAGTATTCCTATGTAAGAGTACATTCTCCTTATAGATAAGACTGGGGATTTTCTTTAGTCCCAAGTAATAAAACTATATTTACCTTGTTAACTTTAGAATTTGTCTCCTTCTCTTGTTTTTTTGCATCTTCTTTTCGTTCTGGTTTTTGTGCTGCTGCAGGTTTCTCCTCTTCCTCTTCAGGTCGTTTCTTCTCAGGCTTCTGATCCCGAGTCTCCACAACTTTCGGCGTAGGCTTTGATATTCTTGGTGACCGCCTTAAAGTGCGGCCAATGCTCACCTCTTCTGGCGGTGTTTCTGTCTTTCTCTTCCGACTAGAGATCCTGATTGTTAATTTAATTCCTTCTTTTTGTCTTTCAGAAGTTATTTCTTTATTTTCTGTTGCACAGGTTTCTTCTTCAGAAACTAGCTTATATTTAAATTTGCTTTTAGGTACTGGAGATTCCTTTTTACTCTCTGAGGAGTCCTCTAGATTAGATACATGGGCATCATCTAATTTATCTGGCTCCGTTTTGGCAGCTTCTGGCTCTTCCTCTTGTTTTTCTGGGCTGAATTTTTCTTCTACTTTGCTCTCCTCAGGTAGAGCCATTTTACTATTGGAGTCCTCCTTTTCCAGAACAGGTTTCTCTACTGTAACAGGTGAAGTGGATGCAGCAGGTATCTCAGCAGCTTTTGGAGAGTCGTTTTTCTCTTCAGGGTCATCTTTACTTTTCGAAGTCTCTTCATCAGCCAGTGCAAGTTTAGGCAGTTCTGCAGGAGCAGATGCATTTGGGGACATCTCTAGCTTCTCTGAACATTCTTTGGATGGTGGCATGCTGTCATTTTTGACATCAGTGGCTTGTTTCTCTTCAGTTGTTTTGGCACAGTCTTCAGAGTTTGAAGCCTCTTCTGCTACAGTCTCAGTAGTTGTGCTGTCAAGGGACTCTTTTTCCACAGGACTAGATTCCTCCTTTGAAGGCACTTTCTGATTAGAAACTTCAGAGACCACAGCCCCGACCTCTTTCAGCACAGTTACTGCATTCTTCTCAATCTCACATGTTTTTATAACAGAATTTAGGGAGTCTGATACTTTTTCCCCGCTTTTTCCATTTTTCTCTTTTAATGAGGTGCTGTCTTCCATAGCACTAGCAGAGTGCTCTGACTTACTATTTTGTATGACACTTGGGGTTATTTTTTCACAGCTAACCTCTCCATTTACTAGCACTTTCCCATCAGGACATAGAGCAGTAATGGTAGGGACTCTCTTAAAAGCTTCTTCTTCTGGTTTCCCTTCTTCCTTCAAGACATCCTTCGTTGGAGTAACACATTTACACAGGGGCCCTTTTATTGGACTGTCATAGTCATCTGTCAGCTTGATCTCTCGCTTTTTAAGTGGTATTTTTGCCTGTTGGTCATTTTTAAGTTTTTCACTTTCTTCCACAGATTTTTCCACAATTTCTTGTGGAGTTTTGACATTAACACAAAATTCTAACCTCTCTGGCTCATGAACTGCTATTTTGTCCATACAGCTTTTCACTTCTTTTAGGTCTTTGGATTCTGTTTTGTTTTCCTTCACCTCTACTTTAACAGGCTTGACATTTTCCTTAAAGGAGTCACTTTCTTCCTTGACAGTTTGCTTTTCTTCACTGTGTTCTGAAGGTTTTTCTAATTTCACTATTACTGGCAGTTTTATAATTTCTTTTTCTTCCACCTTCTCAATTTTAAGTGCATTTTCGTCTTCTTTGACCACAGGAGGAGGAAGGCTTTCCGATTCCACTGACTGTTCCTCTACCTCCTCTTTTTCTTCTTTGATTTTCAATTGATTTTCTGTTGACAGAGAAAAACAGCTAAGAAACAACAAAGGGACCTACAGGATTACAGAGAACTTCATCAAAACAGAGGCATACCTAAAAAACCCAACAGCCCAAGTCTCACACAAAGGACTCTTTTCCCACTGAATTAGTAGAAATCTGGCTTGTCTAACACTGTCATTAAACAAGTGGGCTGACAATTTTTAGCTATAGAACCACTGTTCAGTCTAGTTATATATCAAGATAAACCTAAATTTCAGAAGCCAGCAGCAGAACTCTAGATTTATCCTTCTTTCAATACACATCTCAGTCCCTTCTTCAGTATTACCACAACACTTCCAGAAGATACATAAAACCTAGGCAGAGGCATGAAATCTCACTTGAGTCTCTGGGTTATTTCAGAAAACAGAACATAGTGTAAGATTCCATGGCCTTCAAGAGAAATTCCTTAGAGAAATGAGTCTCCTCTTTGTACATGTTTCTATTTCAAGATACACTTAACTATTGTATTTCAACAGTTCAGGGAAAAGCCATTCAGCATTATGGCTTACAGCAAAATTCATCCAGGTTCTCTAGGCAATGACTACATCTCCTACATGCAGACAATATTCTACGCTCACTTCATCTGCAGTTTTAAAACAAGCAGTGAATAGTAGCATATCCCAGGAAACCTGGAGAGCTTAAAGAATCAGGTTATTCCACTTTGCTAACTCAGATTTAGATCATTAGGGCTTGAAGTACAGTTCCAGCATTTAGAATAAACCATATAGCTATTTTGTCACTATGCACTTCAGCTTGTTATTTATTTTAACACAGCCTCTTGATACTTCAGGTTTTTGTATTTTGCCAACCACTTTCTGTCAGCCAGAAACAGAAGTAATTAGAAGAAGCAAAACAATAGCACTGTATATACCAGAACAACAGCTCCTGCCACCCGGAAGATGCTTTTGCAGGCGTGCCACAACTGCAGACAAAAAGATGAATTTTTTTTTCCTTCTACCTCACTCCTCTCCAACTGAGCTAATGCAGTTTTGTTTGTTTGTTTTTTTTTTTCATGATGAGAGCTCTTGAATGTGGTTAAAAAATATACAAAGGAAAGGACATGATAGCTAACAATTACATCAAAGAAATTAAGCATTTTAGAAAAGAACAGTGAGGAGGAATTCACAGATCTTCTATTTTCAAATACAAGGCATGTATCCAGATAAATCTCACTATCAGTAAAGATGCATCTCTAAGGCTCCAGAAGTGGTAAGGTGCTTTAGAGGCGCACATTTTGAAGGCTCAAGGCTGGTTTTTCCCCCTTCATAGAAGTGATGCCCATTCAGAGCCCCTATAACTGCCTCTGCAAAGTTATCTGTCTGTAACAGTGAGAATGAGGTATTTTCTCTGTGTCCAAATTCTTCCACTTTCCCTTTGTTTCTGTCTGTCTAAACTTTGCTCAGCCATTTATTCCCATCACCTACAGCTTTCTCCTAAACTTCATTAAGGATCACCAGAATTCCAAAACCTCTCCATACCAAAAATCAGCAGATGTTCTACAGTTTAACTCCCTGAACTACTCACCAAACCTTTCACATATACATGAAAAGACTCAGCCAACACACGAGCTCTCCTAACACTACTAGAGTCAATCAGTCAGGCCTGTAAACATGGAAGCACTGGGTTATATTACCATGTATTTGCATGTACTAATTTAATGATACATGGAAGACAGCCAAAGCCAACAAGTGTCAGGTCTTCCAGCACGTTTTCCTTACATCTTAGTAGGGCCTTCACTGCAATCCCTGGACTACAAGGAGGAGATACTACTTTCAGTTTCTCAACTGAAAGGCTCTAAGGAATGCCCTGTGAATACATTGACAGCACTCAAATCACCGCAAATGTAAATAATTTCATTATTCATTACATACATGGGACATGGACCTGTAGGAATGAGGTCATGAAGATGCTCATAGGGCTGGAGCACCTCTGCTATGGAGACAGGCTGAGAGACAGCCTGGAGAAGGATCTGGAAAGACCTTATAACATCTTCCAGCACTTAAAGGGTCTTACAAGACTTTTGACAAGGGCATGGAGTGACAGGATAAGGGGAAGGGCTTTAAACTAAGAGAAGGGAGATTCAGATTAGATAATTTGGAAAAAGATCTTTACTGTGAGGGTGGCGAAGCACAGGTTACCCAGCAAAGTTGTGGCTGCTCCATCCCTGGAAGTGCTGAAGGTCAGACTGAATGGGGGCTGCACAAACTGATCCAGTAGGAGATGTCTCTGCTCATCACAGGGAGGTTGGACTAAAAGATGGCCTTTAAAGATGCCTTCCAACCCAAACTATTCTATGATTCTGAAACTAGTGCCTAGAGGTGATTTGACACCAATGCCTAATGCAAGTACTGAGCCAGGTGAGTGTGCCACAGGATTTGGAGAATTATCTACCGTAGGGACATCTAAAATGTTTTCAAATGGCTGCTCCTGAATTCAACGTAAAGCAAAATAGTATCTGAAGAAGAGGTCTCAATCAGACAATTTAAGTTGGCTTGAATGAGACAAAAGCAAAATCAGTACATGGAATTAATTCTGCAGTGTTGGTAACTATGCAGGTTGTGTTGGCACTTACATGCAGAGTAAGATACTGAAATGCCTTAGACTGAAAGATAATTCTGCTGGGTTTTGTCACAATTTACTGTCATTTCTACAATCATCTCTTAGTACTTCCACAACAACTCCAATTTTACCTAAATATTTCTTCTGTTCTACACTGCTTGTTGACAAAAAAGAATAGAATAGTAATTCCTTCTCTCTCATACTCAAAACCTAGACAAGCCTTGGCTAATTCCACATATCCAAGTGACTTCCACACATTTGCAGAAACACCTACTAACACACTGGAATACTTAACTTCTGCTTCTGATTGTAAAAATATTTTCCTGTATTTTAACAAAATAATAAAACCAGGTAGTAAAACTGGGGTAAAATTACTGGGATAACAAGCTTCTAGTTTTTCATGACCTGAAAGAAGACCAGATTATTATAAAGTCAAATACTTCAGGCTGACTGATACTTAGCAAAACCAATGCACAAACCAACAAGTCAGGCAAGTTACTAAATACGTGCAATGGCATGATAATAAGGAAGGAAAAAGGTTCTTGGCTTTGATCTTGGAGATCTTTTCCAACCTAAATAATTCTGTGATTTTAATAACAACAATATAATGGAGGCAGATAAGGACAGCCTCACTTCAACAATGTTTTAGCATTTTAAATTGTTTTAACTTAAGCTCATGTCTTCTTAAAATATTGTGTCAAACTGTGAAACACTTGAGAGATAACCTATATTTTTCTGATTCTAACTCAAAAGCAAGAATAAACACCACACCCAATACAGTCTTGATTTCAATCACAGCATTGCACAAGCAGATTTCTTTTCTTTTTCAAATTTTAATGTTGCTAAAACAGGAGAAGTTTGGCAGTGGTTCAATGCTCCACAGAAACATACAATAATGAGCATTTACAATATTATACAAAATGTACAGGAAAAAAGAAGTTACTGAGAAAACATTTTTTACACAGCTGTCTTCCTATAAATAAGTGTTTGATATTAGATATGCATTGAAAAACCTACAAATATATTCAGAATTTCAAAGTATTCAATATTTACTGGATTTGCTTTTTTAGTGAGGCTGAAAATTCTAACATTGCCACAGCAAAACACTTAAACTTTGAGAAAAGAAGGCAGAAAACCTTGTGTAGCTGCTTCTTCACCCTTTTTGGTGTCTTCATCTTCTATGCTTGGACTTTCACGTGATGAATTCTCCTGCTGAGAATTGTTGTTTTTCAACAGAGCAGGATCAATTTGCGCTTTCAAGAGCTCAAGGGTCTCGGCAAGCTCATTGCGGTTTCTAGAAGAGAAAAATACGTTGTCTGATAAGCCACTTACTTACCCCAAAGGGATTCACAAAGAGTAAACAAACATTATCTGCTTAAATTAATTACCCTGAAAACCTTATAGAGTTATATAGTGAAAACACAAGCAAACTGAAATGCTTGTCCCACCAGTGGCTGCACCTTTGCAGTCAGAAACATTTCAATTTATCCATACCAAAATAAAAATATTGCTTTTGGAAGGACCTTATCTATTTATCTATCTCAACTCCTGTTGGGTCTGGATCCAAGCTGCTACTATTATTCTGTTATTTATTGCCCTCTCGTTAACCATCACTGATTATTCTTTGCTATTTTTTTTTTCTCTCAGCAGTGAATAAACTACAGCTCTCAGCTCATGCACCAAAGAAGCAACCATATCATTTGAGTGAAATCTGCAAAAGCAAACAGCAAATTTTTTGCAAATGCTTATCCTCAGCACATGCAACAAACAATACCAAGTTGTCGAGAAAACTCCATCAACTCAAGTTATGACAGCAAAATCATTGGTGCACATCTGTCTGAGAGTGAATCTCAGTGCACTGTAACTCCTTATTTAAACTGCACATCCAACTATTAAAAAAACCTACCTTAATTTATAAAGAATTTGAGCCATGACTGAACAGTCATTGCTTTCTTAATGAACTAGAATAATAAGGCTCTCACATCTGTTTTCCAAAGTCAATGTTCAGCAATTTGTTTTTCCTAGGTTTACAGAAAGAAAGGAAGCCTGCAACAATCACAATATATGGAGTCTCACGAGTTTTAAAACCATTTCAAATTTCTTAATGCATTACTGTGGCTTTCAGCTGTGAGTGTGGAGTGTTAGAACCTTTCCAGCAGAACCCTGGTTTCTTCTTCCCTCAGTAATGAATTTTGGAGTCTATAATGCATGGAAGAGATGGATGTTGCATGGATCAGCTCTTAATCTGTTTGTCTGGACATATTTACTTTATTCCTCCACAACAGCTGTATACACGTAACTCGTAGCGATGCTTATCATTTTATGGCCTGTTGATACTGGATTAAACACTTCTGTATGACTCCCTCAGTTACTGAAGTCACGGCAGTGTAAAAAACCTGCAGATAGCTTGTGTTGGAAGGGACCTTCAAAGACCAATCCTTTCCAACTTCCCAGCCATGGGCACGGACATCTACAACATCTTTGAGCTCAAAGCCTTATCAAATGTGGCCTTGAAGACTTCCTGCAATGGGACAGCCACAGCTTCTCTGAGCAACCTGTGCTGCTGCATCACCACTCTCACATAACTCTTCTGTAATAAAATTCTTCTGCTCTCTGTCAGTTTGAAGCCATTCCCTCTTGTCCTGCCACTACACGCCTCTCTAACAAATTCCTCTCCCCTGTTCCTGAGCCCCTTTAGATACTAGAAAGGGCTCTGAGTTCTTCCTGGATCCTTTTCTTCTCCTGGCTGGACAATCACAAGTCTCTCAGTGTGTCTTCATAGGAGAGGCACTCCAGCCCTCCGAGCATCTCCTTGGCCTCCTCTGGCTTCCTTCCAACAGGAGTAATTGCAATATGATTTCCCCAAGAACAAATCTGTCCACTTGGAGCTTTCCTAACAAAGTTAAGGAAGCAAGAATATTCTATTTTCTAAGGCATTTAGCTGACCAGTAAGGAATACGGAGCCATCACCCTTAAGACAGTCTTCTCTGGCTACCCCGTCTATATATTCATTGCAGCTTGAACTAGCAGGAAAAAATTATGTGATGGTTGCTACCAACAGATCTCAGAGTTATTTCTGTACATGATTTTTCACTAGAACATAGATGTCAATGCAGAAAATCCCACTGTCATGAATCCTACCGTGTGAGAAACGAAGACTTATTTAAATACATTTCTGAGCCCAAGTCACAAACAGCTAAAAACCGCACAAAATAAAAAAAAAAGAATACCTAACAATGCACTTCCATGTGGATCCATCCTGGTCATCCTGTTCTTCTATGTACATCCTGACATTATGCTCCTGATCCAGCTGATACCAGTACATGAGGCCGTCCTTGTCTCGACCAATGGGCTGCAGACGCATGGCGTCAGCATCCTCCTCGTTAATGATATTCTTAAACTTTAGATTGTCATCAAACTGACATTCGCAGAGATACTGAAAAAGTAAAAAGGCTGGTAAGATATCAAAAATATAAACAGAAAGAAAAAAATCAGCTCATTTCATTTCAGTGTGATTTGAAACTTGTTTTTAGGCCTCTCTCTGTTGGATCTGTGTGTCAGCTGCAGCTACAAGTTTTTTTCCAGACCATGTTGTTTTTAAATGAGAGACAAGGGTTGGTTTTGGTTTTTTTTAACTTGGCTAGCTTAGAAAGCTTATTCTCAAATTTCATTACATAGCACAAATTATCTCATTCTACAATAGAACCCATACATAACTTGGAACCAACCCTGACAATTTTGTCAAGACCACAATAAGATGAAGTCCCATTCTGCCTTTGGAATTCAGCAAGGTAACAAACACATTTCAAAGTGTGTATTACACAGGCAAAGAGCTCTTGACAAAGCAGTAAGCATGAGACTATTTTCACACAAAGTATGAAAAATATGCAAACAAAGTGTTACATGCAGTTTAGGTCCATCCCACTACAATGAATAATATGTCTGTTCCAAGATCAGCTCTATATTTAATATATATAGAGCTGATGGTTCAGTCACGCAAAGTTTGCAAGACCTTAAAAGTGAGTGAGGAAGCAGTAATTTAGAACCTTAGCTGATGAATGCATACCTTCAGAATCCCCAGTTTGCATTCAACACTCATTTCTAGGTATCCTTTTTTTTCCATCTCCCAAGCCCAAGTGCTGTTGAATTCTTGACATATCTGTTACAAACAAAATAAGCATATTTCTAAGGTTAGGAGGAAAAAGCAACTTTAAACTTTTTTATTAATAGTACCTTATTACAGTAATTAATTACACATGATCTCTTTGGGATTGCAGTCAGAAAGTATTACAAAAAAAAAAAGTAAAACTGAGGCACATTAGCAAGCACTGTTGAATTTTTATAGAAGAGGAAATCATCAAGTTCCCGATCACCACCACATTCTCTAAACATCCTAAATTAGGTAGCATGATTCTGGAATGGGAAGGTATTATTGTCTTTGCTGTGCACGTATCTCACATTTTTCTATTTCTGTCTATTCATAATATAAATTCTCTCAAGCAGACATGACTTCTATTCTATCTCCTTGCAGCACTTAGCAGACAAGTTGCTAGGGTCTCTTGGGGCCCTCTAAGTCCTACAACTGTACTGCAGATAACAAACGCAACTGCTACTCATCCCACACTGTGGAATTATTACTCTTTACAAAATATCTTGAGCTTCAAGCTGCTTGACAAATATTTTAAAATATTTTAAATACAGCCAATTTCAATTTATTTAAAGGGAATAAATTCAACCACACCAATACAGGGGGAAAAAATCCTACCACCAGAAAAAGCAGCAGTAGAGGAGAAATAGATTGAATCAGCATGAACTCGAATAATAAAGGTGAAGAAGAAATTCCCTCTCCTCCTAAACAACTCAGACGTGCTTAAGTCAACTGTCATGAAGAGACAAGCTGCTCATCATCTGAGGACACATGGTGGATCTCCAGTCAGTGAGGCTATTCCAGTGGAAATATCCATGAGGAGGCAAAAGCTGATCACATCTACACCTCCAGCTGGAACTATTTTGCAGTGCCACTGCTGAATCACAACTGTTAAATCAGTGCATGAGGTGCTGCTGCCCTTCAGTCTATAAGGCTGGACTCAATCAGAACAGTGCAGTCTCCCAATCAACAAATTATTATTAAACAAAAAATACAGTTACCAAGCTACTTAGAAACCTGCCAATCACATCTGAATGCAGCTTTCTCTGAAAACAGCAGCAAAAATAATCCTAAATTTCACCCACCAGAAGTACAGATAAACTGATTCAAAATGTAAAACTCCACCTGGGCTCCAACCAAGCAAAGGGGCTGCTACCCTTCCCCTGTTCCCACAGCCACACTACCAACCCTCCACTAGCCCTAGTACTGACACAATTTCTCAGGTGGCACAATGGTAAGGCTGCAGTTAGGTCAGCTCAGCCACACCATAAAGCATACTTTGACTTTAAGCTGTGACCTACAGAAAACAGTGGCACTCTGGTCACAAGGGATCCTGCTGAAGAGCAGTTTTTTCCTGATCTGAGGTTAAAGAATATTACACAGGGACTTCTCTGATGCCAAGCCAAAGCTCACAGCAGGAGACAATCGCTGCCCTCTCACAAAATGAAGCTATTCTACTTTCCCTCTCCTTTTCAACCATGTAATATGAAGAACACTGGGAAACTGTGTATCAAAACCCTCACTCAGGCATATGCCAGTCGCTGTTCATTACTTAGTCATTAAGTGTGAGAGCAATAACGAGAAGCTTCATGTGTTACGAAGTGTGTGACTGTCAAAGCAAAAGCTTCGAGACATCAGAGCTGATGAAGCATCTGTTCAAACTGAAATGACTACACTTCAACAATTAAAAACCAGATAATTGTGCTTTCTCCTGACAAGTGCTGTCACAACCCTGAACTACACATCTCATTGATGCAGGCTCTGCTGAAATCTCAGTCTCTGCCTTCCCAGAGAGGATGCTTCACACTGATCACAAAGCTGCTGCTTGCAGAAACTCCTGGCTTTTGCATGCTAAGAGTGGTCAGCACCTTCCCACCCTGCAAGAAATGCTGAAACATCTCTCTTAAATAATTCCAAAGCAGTTATGATGGCATCCAACAATATTACCATGCCAAATGTTCATTTTAAAAGAGGAAAACAGGAACATGAAAGAAGAGTCTCCTTGACAGAGGAGTCTCCTTAGGTGAGATTACGAACACCTGAATTCTAACAATCAGAAACATATTCAGAATGTGCTGATTTTGGGTTGAAGGTTTCATGTGGAACAATGCAGAGAGATCTTCTCTGTATAGAAACGTAAGTTATGTTTGACAATAGTTTCTCAAGATCAGCTAAGCTGGACACTCCCTCTTGGTTGTTGGAAGGCTTAGGACCTGGCATTTCTTTACCTCAGTCACACATGACCACAAGACATTCCCTGTGCAGAGGACGAAAGTCAGACCCACAGAGACCTACAGCCATTTTCTTCCATAAAAAACTATTGCACATACCGGTGGATCCAACCTGGGTGGTTCACCACCAGAAGAGGGAAGGGAAAGAACTCTCAACTACCATGTTCACTTCCTATCCCAAAATATATCCAGCTGTCAAAATACTAGCCACAGCTCAGAAACAATTTTTATGATATTCTTTATATGCACAACAGTCAAGTGAGGCACATTTTATAATTAGTCAGTATATAAACAAAATATAATAATACATCCATGCATAAATATTAAGAGCATGTAAGTCTGAATGTCCTCCACTACAGTTTCTGTCTAAATAAGAACATCTAGAATATATCAAACCCTGTTTTATCAAAGCAACACATCAGTAGTTTCTAACAAAGGAAAAACAGGTCAACTTTGCCTCTTAGAATGTCACCAGTAATATGTGGAACAATATTACAGGCATCAAGGAAAAATGCTCTCAGTGGTTCCACGCCTTTTCAGTTTTTCCTGGCTTTTGTGGTATTTCCCAACACTCTTTCTTGCCTTTCTAAATTGATCATACCCCTTTGAATTTGGGACAATATTAGCATACCTTTCTAATTAGTTATATTCAAATTCCTTTGTTCTTCAAGGTTCCTTTGAACCACTGGCCAGAATAAGCTTCAAGTTACCTCTGGAGACTGTTAAATGAAGTAGAATTTATTAACACTTACTTGGTCTTAACAGCGGTGTGAGGGAGGGTTTCCTTACTGCTTCCTTCAAGAAGAATTTCCAAACTGCTTTGAAGAAGATTTTCCAAACTACTCCCTCACACTTGTTTTATCACCCTGCTTTCTTGCTTACCACACAACTGGTAAGTGGCCCCAGTGGGGTACATAAGTTCATGAGCCAGAGTTGGGTTTTCTCAGTTTGCTACAATGGTTTTTGGGTTTATTGAGAAATTTAACACAATTCAGTAACCACAGTACTTGGTAATACACAAACTACACACAAATTACATAAATTATTACATTACTATTTTTAAAAATTATCATCAATGCTTTACAGTTGCTTAATGGGTCAGAATTAACAAATAAATTAACCTTTAGCAGGTTATTCCTCAAGACATTCCCAGCCCTAAAAACATCACCATCTTAAAGGGTACATAAACCTCAAGACGAATTCATACCTCTGTAGAGCTTATAGACAGCATTTAATGGGGAGACCTGTAGCTGGATTTGCCAAGTGCCATTATTTGTATGGTTACTATTACCATGATGCTGTATTTCTAAGCAAGATGTGATCATGGCTGTACAGACAATAATAAGATTACAACTCTGTGGATTAAAAGACACATGGAACATAACCAGAGGGGAAATGGTAACCTATTAATTTTGACTATCCATATATTTTTATTTTTTGAAGCAGTGCAAATTATTTAAACTGGAAACTATTTGTATGTAAAATGTCAACAAAGACACAGCTGCAATTAAAATACCAAGATAGAATTATGTAAAACAATGGGATGCTCTATTTTTACTGATGCATAATTACATTTTCATCTTAGCTGTGCCATTCTGAGCAGATATAAATCACTAAAATACTTTATTTTATTATTAACACATGCTACAAGACCTCTGTATGGTTCCTGTGTGAATATCAGCCAAATCACAGTAATTAAATAATATTCAGACAAGTGATATACAATGAAGTGCTACTGTATAAATCTCTGCTCAATTTAACCCATTAGCAGGCTACTAAATCTTCTTTATTTAGGATCTTAATAGTCAAGAAAGTATTTTCCTGCCAATTATGAGGGTGGACACTCTCTCACATGCAGAAGATGGTGCCTATTTTCAGAGACCTTTTTCCCAGAAGCCTGCAGACTGCAAGTTAAGCTGGGATCTGATGTATGTGTGTTGATGCTGGCACAGCCCAAGGCTCCTGAAGCCCTTACTAGGGCTTGCTCACACTGTTCATCACAACCATATTGCAGCACTGCAGAATAATACAACATGCATATTGTACCTTGATCAAGTATTTTTCCCATCTGTCTGCTGTGACAGACTTCCCAATCTTTCTCATCAGTTTCAAGTGAAGCTCCACCAATTCTTTTGGGACTGTAGTATTGAGAGAGAGAAAAATAAAAAAAAGAAGTTGTTAAGTCTGGTGCAAATATTCTTCAATGCTAAACACTGATAACACTGAAACACTGTGACAAATTAAGACATTTTAATAAAACAGAAACTTCAAGCCTGCTGAAGAGCCGCCCTGCAACTGAGAGATAAAGGAAAGTTAATTTCATCATGAATCTTTTTGTTTAGATTTACATTCAGGATAATCATCACCCTTCAATTCCAGGATACAGAGCTCAGTGATAAACCTGTGGAAATTCTGGCAATGTTAGAACCACAACTGTACAGGAACTACTCCAGTCAAACACCTGCAAAAACAATACTGCAAGCAGCACACCTGCAGCTGCCTCCAGAAACCCCAAAGCCATATTCTGCACCATGCCTGGAATATCACTGGATCCAAACTCTTTTTCGCCAGGTGCACGGTATGGAAGAAATGTTCCTGAAACTCTGTTCTCACAGATGTACCTTTGCTACACAATTACGCTCTCTTGTACTAGAAGTACTAGAGGTACTTAAGATATGGGGGCTTGAGAAATGGTTGCCAGAAATGCTGCTGAGTAGAGCTGCACCAGTGTTGTCACAAAATCAAGGTTTTCCAAGAAAATTTATGTATCTCTTAGCGTACACGCCTCAGAAACAGCTTCAACAGCTTGTCTCAGCTCACGTCTGTGATTTATAAATCAATTTGGCACCACCAAGTGGCAAATTTGCAGAACATTGATTTTATAAGTTAATGAGTAGCATAGCTTCTAAGAAATATTTAATTGATAATTATTAATGAAATTCTACATGCCCAGTAACATCAGCTTTCTTATCTGTAATTTGCTGAGAAAAACTTCAAAAATTAACTTTTCAAGTATTTTTATTTCCCTATTCTTTGTGTACAATTTTATATTCTAAAAGCATTTTCAGTACTTCATGCACACATACATTGAAAGCTTTAAACTCAGTAATTTTTATTCTCATAATTTATGATTATGACTTCTCTGCTGGGTCAGTAGCATTACTTGACACAGGACAAACAGCTGGGACACCAAATGTGTTTGTTTTAAACTAGATACCACTGGGAGGTTTGCTCTTTTACTCATTTACATATTACCTGTGTGAATCTTTTCAATACCTAACTTGAATTCACCCAACTTTTCCTTGTCTTTCAATCAAATGCCTCAACTTTCAGGTGAACATATTGAGTTGCCAAAAATCAGTTTGATGAAAATGCTTGTATTGTTTCAGAAATTAAGAAATTTCATACACAAACTCCTTGAAAAAATAAAAATAAAAAGTACCAGCCTGGTATCTTCAAAGAGACCTCTTTTCAGTCTAGATAATTCATAAGCAACAAGTCCTGGCTTATTCTTTTTCATTCCATTTGCAATAATATTTCCATTACATCTTGAATATACCTTTCCTTGCTTTTCCTGAAAACTGATGCTTTTCATGATTTTGAACTAACACCTATTTTAAAAGGAACAAGATCAAAGGTCTTAACCCCAATAAGTGCCAAGCAGCTGGCACTAACAAAATTAATCACAAAGCACTTTATACACATGAGCAATTCTATCTATGCTAAATCATACAATTAAATCTCTGCCTGTGTTTGTGTGACATGGAACTGAGCCAGAGTATTCAAAATCTTGCTGAATGACAGCTTTTGTTCAGCATCCTTTTTTGTTTGTTTGTTTTTAATCAGACCTTTTTAGGGGTATGTAGTGATAGGAATCCTAGTTTAAAGAAGCACAGGTGATTTGTTTCAAATAATCAAATTCCCAGTCACCACAAAAATCTCTGCTAGAGCTTTAGTGTGAGAAAAAAAATGCAGAACATGAAAAATTTTTAAAATTTGAGAATATGCATGCTCTTGGATCAGCACTACCTGTGAGTTGTGTCAGTATCTACAGAAACATCACTTGTCTCAGTTTCAGCATTTCAGCTCATTTCTAGGATCTTCATGGTGCATTGATGTGATTACTTTTACAAATTCCACTGAACACTTTATATCCATTCTCTGTTTACTACCCTTTCAAGATGCTTTTCATGTATTATGCAATATTACTGACCGGATTTCTAGGATGGCTTTTCACCTCTTCCCTTCGCTGAGAGGAATCCCACAGTACACACCTGGTGTAATGAAGGAGTCAGGAGGCTTGGATAAGAAAACTGATGTCTAGTTTGCTCTCTAGGGAGTGTGTGCGGTGCAGCCACACGCCCCAATAGCCACAGGAGCAGAAGCCTACAGGACTGAGAATCAAACTGTATTAAATCCAATGTAATCCAAAGTAATCCTGTAAACAACACAGGATGTGCACCTGACTTGTCCAAAAACACCAGCTAAGGAGATGGCCTTGGAAGGCTAAAGAGTGGTGGCAAATCTCTCCCAAAGCACTTAGCTGGCAGGGAGTAAAACTGCACCAGTAAACACAACTAAAACTTCAGTCCTCTTAGAAATGCATTGAACATGCATAACTATAAATTAACTTACTTTTGTTCAGAGCACAGAGAGAATTCCTGACTGAATTGAGACATGAGTAAGGATCACTTTTACAACACTGTTCTACCCTACATGTCAGAGAAGGAACATAACACCAAAGAGAATGAGCATAAATATAACTATTTTGGCTTGTGTTGCCGGCTGGTTTCAGCAAATAACAATAGTAGACTACTATCTCCTTTGCAAAATTTCATCTCCATTCATGTGGGACCTGCATCACTCATTTCAGGAACTTGAATAACAGTGTTCCACATTTGTAAAAATTTCACATAAGGGAAGGAACAACACACAGCATCCTTCTTGTATAATTGCCATTGTGTGTAAGGTTCTGGTCAAAAAAGCGTGATGGAACATATTAAAAAAACCCGCAAAACATGAATTATATTCTCAAACTTTTATGAAACTTTGATCTCCTGGAAAGTAATACAGGAGTTCTCCAAAACCTTCTCAGAATATGCTTAAGCAGTAGAGAAAACACCAGGACTGTGCACAGGGCTAACAGCAGTTCTTCTTTTATAAAAGTGCTGTACAAATATTGCAAAGAATTGGCTATAATTAAAGCATGGTGCGTTCTGCTAGATATTCAAAAATACATACTTTTCATAGGAAGAAGTCATAAGCCAGGAAGAATGAGTCACCATAAACAATTATAAGGCTTCTGGTGGAGTTCAGCCCATTTGTTAAACCCTACCCTTCCCTGGAGGGGAGGTTGTCATCTGTGCCTCACACAAGTGTCCCTTGAACACTATTCCGTCTGCTCCAGCATTTCAGGGAGCATCCTGTACACCAGTCACACGTCTAATAAATTCGGGAACATCAGAATAATTGAAATGGAAGAGAAAACATACAAACATGTGAAAGCCCCCTCAGCAGGCTAGAAAAGCTGTAACTTTCAAACACCTACACAACCACAGATTAAAGACAACCTCTCATGTAACCATAACCCCATTTCACCCCTACTTATTTTCCCTGCCAAAACAAAAAGGCTGACAACTCACCTAAAAAACCCTGAAACAGCAGATGAAAACAGAAAATATGACAAAGTCCTGAGTCCAGAAGGAGGATGGGGGAATATGTTATTTTGAAAATTATTATAAACAAAGAACACTTTGGCATAAAAGCAGATCTGGAGTGCAGGACACAGAGAGGAGGACTGGAACCATGATGTACACAGAGCACCTGGTACTGATGTGGATTGATGACAAAGCCTGTGCCTACTGTCCTCCTTCTGGGACCCAGGAAGAGAACACTGAACTCTTAGTGCTGGGGGGACCTGGGATGAAGGGACGAAAAAATAAAACTCTGGGATGCAAAGCCCCCTGGTAGTTTTCATGCTCCACGAACACAAACAGGTCCTCCCAGTTACACTAGTAAACCATTTTCCATGCTAACTTGTTTTGGCAAGTGGAGGAAATAAAATGACTCATAAGACATACATGGCAAATATTTCCATTAACCATACGTTCTTTTTCATCCTTCTGCCTTGACCAAAATTACCTCTGCACGCTATGACTGCACTGTCAAATAAAACCACCCTGAGCAAGAGAACAGCTGAGATTGATGAGATCATTAATGATCTCCCACCTCCTTTCTGCTAAGGGAAGGTAGCTCCCAGCAACCTGCACGCAGTTGATGTGGATTAGCTACTGGCACTCTGCACGGAGTTTAATGGCACATAGGACACTGTTTCCACTCTGTTCAAATTGCTCTGCTGTGAGTGCTGGAGGGAGCTGTCCTGGAGGCACAGACAAAGGCAAGAGCATCTCCTTAGACATCAGTAAAGAGCCAGTATGTGGCCACTGTGGAACAGGCTGCACAGAGAAGCAGTGGATGCCCCACCCCTGCAAGTGTTCAAGGCCAGGTTGGATGGGGCTTGGAGGAGTGTGGTCTAGTGGAAGGTGTCCTGGCCCAAAGCAGGGTGGTTGGAATGATCTTTAGGGTCCCTTCCAACCCAAACCATTCTATGATAATTAACCACTTAGCCCATCACACTAACCATGCAGTTAATTCCCTTTACAGACAGGTCCTTAGGCATAAATTTGCTTACAACCAGTCAGCTGCATCCCTTGCGAAAGGCACAAGAGTCCCCAGCAGGCATGTGACCACATTTCCAGCATCTTTAATATTCTCCTTAATTTCTGTGTGAAGTCTGAAGTCCCACGAGCAGTCTGAGGCAGCAAACGTCGTCTACGTTAGTTTCAAACAAGGAGAAGTCCCTCATCTGTTTCAATAAAGAACTAGCAAACACTGAGGAAAAGAAAGGGAACAGCATCTCCCCTTTGGAACCAGCACTGGTTTGTGATAACATAAATATTCTTCTTGAATAACTATCTAAATGGTTTCTTAACTCAGTATAAGGAAAATGTGAGATCCTTTTAGTTATTCACAGAAGTTTACAGATCAGAGAAAAACAGCAGGCTTGGTATGAACTTGGCATGATGACTAAATGGAAAGACAAAACTCCCTAGTTTGAACCCAGGCAAGAAAATTCAGC